ACAAGGCTCGACGCCTGCTTGCAGCACGATGCAAATCAGTTTGCTAGCATCTGCGATGCTGTCATCTAGACGCAGTTGGCTACATTTTCCATCAACCAGCTCTTGACGCAGCTGCGAGAAGGTTTCCCTGGTCAAGTAACCGTGGGCACTATTTCCTTGAGACACCAGTTGTGGAAGTTGAGCTGCTAGAATCGACGAGGCTGGTTCCGCAGACCTTGACAAGCCGTTTGTAGTGGTGAATTGATAGGGAACCCACGACTCATTGGTCGCCATATGTGTAATAGAGAAAGCATCAAAAGCTCCGTAGTATTGACTGAAGGCGTTAGAGGCTGAAAATAATTGAGTGCTTATCGAAGGGACGCGCCCCACTAGAAAGATATTACAAGAGGTAACAGTGTAAGGCACGCCGTAGTAGTTTGTATCAGTTGTGTACAGGTACTTATGGTATGGTTATAATGTTGTAAATGAATAACCCATTCTACACTAGGTAGGTACATAGCACCGTCTTAATAGTAGCACTTTGTCGTGTGTTGATACCTAAATTAGCATAGATAATAACATCCTGCTGGGCGGCACAGCCATAAACAATGGACTATCATCTGCACTGGTGTTTGTGACATCACACATTAGATGCTGTATCGGGCTTTCCATCAGAAAGCTCTTAGTAAACATCCACTTATGATTATGTCACAAGTCGTGCAGATTGCATTTGATGTTCTTTTGCTTTTCGGACTTTGACTTATGAGGCTACCGATGATGTGTCAGGTCAGAAGTAAGGAGGAGTTGACATCGAACACTTGCGGGATATGCTCATATCGCCTGTTTAAAATCTTCATCTAGTCTAGATATTATCGCACACTCACCAGGCAACGACACATTTACGAATCCGAGTCTTTCTCCATGTCCCGGCGCAATGGAGGTTCAAGGTGAGTTAAAAACGGAAATTTCCATGGCAATCACTTCGGTGATAACTTTATGACTTAGAGCAGGAAAATTCAAGGCATGCATATTTTATGAAGCAAGCCTTGTTGATGGTACGATACCTCCCCAAAGGCTGCATCGAAGACGCTCACAAATACGCTGTGTAGGGCGAGAAAGCGCTCAAATCTGGCGAAACGCCGGTTGGATGCGTGTTGGTACACCATGATAAAATAGTGGGTGCTGGAATGAATGACACCAACAAATCAATGAATGTACGTCGTGGTTGCTGGGTTGAGACAAGCACCCTCAGGGCATCATCAATTTTTCTATCTTGCTCATACAATGCGTATTGGAAAGTCATGATGCTGCTGCGCGAATATTTCTGGACCTCGGCTTGTTTCATTTCTTTATTTTCATCTTTATAGCTCACTGCCATTAGGGTACAAGACATGCCGAGTTCATCGCCATTGAAGAAATGCTCCGGAACCACCCCAAGTCATTACTTCGCTCGACGGACTTGTATGTCACAGTCGAGCCATGCGTAATGTGTGCTTCCGCTCTAAGGCAATATCAAATACGAGCAGTCTATTTTGGTTGCGCCAATGATAGATTCGGAGGCACAGGAAGCATTTTGTCATTGCATTCTGAGTGAGTATGTCTGAGTTTTGAAAACTTGACCCGTTTCTAAAACTGTTACCTATGTCAGCTTCACGATAGACCCACCATATCCTGTCTATGGAGGATTATTCCGCAAAGAAGCAATAATGTTACTTAGGCGCTTTTATATACAAGAGAATGAGAAAGGTAGGCGTCCAAAGGGTATGGCGTATGCACGGATCTGAGAGATTTGCTGACTTCGTCGAGCGCCAAAACCACGACCAAAAAAGAATCGAGAACTCAAGACGATGCTCGAAGACGATAACGCCCTGAATCTGGCCTCTTAAGCGAAAATGGTGCTATGCAGTCGATCGCGGAACTTGCTACTTCGTAACCATATTGCTGAAGGTAGACTGTTCATGTAGCTGTATTTCGAGTACATGGAAAGAGCAATAGGATACAAAGGCTTCACAAAACATGTTTCAGTGTCGGGTACTGACAAGATTCGACAACCCTCTACAAGCACAAAGACTCAGGAAGAGCGTGCTGTCGTCAAGCGCTCGGCTTCGAGCTCACGCTCAGCTTGTTGGTAATATCTCGCTGTGTCAACACCATGCTGCCATACCTTAGCGTACTGCATTCAGACTCTTGAGGACAGTGATGAAAAATAAAAAGGCTTACCTGGTCGTGATTGACGATGTTAAACCAAGGAAGGACATGAATAAAAAGCTGCGAGTACCGCGAATTCCTGGCCGCAACGCCTTGTAGGTAAGAGGATACTTGTGATGTACCGTATAGCGGCTCGCCCTTTTTGACCTTGTCGACCATTTCCCTCATGTCCATTTCGACCTCTCGGGCATTTTCCGTGAATCCGTAGAAACGGTCTATGCTCAGGTTAATGCGTGCTACCAGAGGGTTTCAGTGCGTCGACGTACTGCAAGATCTCTGGTAAAGTATGTGTAGACCGCCAATCAAACCGATTGCTGTCGCCAGTCGCATCACAGGAGCAAAGCCTCCTCGGCCCACATGGGAAGGGCTGACCCTCTCCATAGCCCAAAATGCGAGAGGGGAGGCAGCGGCCATACCCCCAGCGATTGCATAATCAGAAGGTCTAGCATATCCGAAAACTCGTCTAAGGTGCCTATGTTGATGTGAATATCTTCTTCCACAGTTGAGCGCTTGAGCGAAGGGTAGTGACATACGGATCAGAGTCGATGAGCTGCAACGCAAGGTTAGCATTAATGTGAAGCGAAAACGATGGTATAGGAGAGCAATTGGACGCACCGGGTAGTCGGTATTAGCCCGCTTCGGAGGGATAAGAGCGTTCTTGCCTTCAGGAGCCATTGTGAGGATCCCGGGGGTGTATATGTCCTGAGGTTCACTTTTGGTTGACCGGATGGGCGGTTTGTCAGTATAGATGAACTGAGAGGTGCAGCACCGAGATTACCCTTGACTATTCTTGGACTAGTAGAAGATCTGGGCTTACTAATCAACGAACCTGTAACCCATTGTTGACTTGCGAGATCAACGTATAAATCAGAGTGATCATACTCTGTTACAGCATGCAGATCTAGCATGACTTAAGGTTACAGAGTACTTGTGGATAATCATCAAATTAAGAGTACTGAGAGTTTCTAGATGACTGTTAACTACTCAGTAATGGACTAGAGAAACATTTCCAAGAATACAAGGAGAATTTCAGGTGAGCGTAACATATTGTATTATAAGGAAATGTAAGGTAAGGTAATGTTTCTGTAGTGTATTCAATACGTAAATTGGCGAGATCTTCGAGCCTAACCACAAACTGATACATTAACATCCCATGTCAGAACGCGTCAGAGCCTTGTGACGCGTAGAATAATCCCAATTAGGCCGCATAACCCTCAAGGTTAACAAATGCAGTGTACTCGGCTCTGGTTGAAGATATTATTGAATTCCCAACTGCCAATCTTGACATAAATTTCCAGATATACGTCATATCTTCTGTCTTGGTCGAAAATACAGATCTAGAGTCATGGAGAATGAAGGCACACTTCAAGATGATCGAMCAGCATCGCCAAACCGTGCAGACGATCTCTTTGATTATGACATCGGCTTGGATGAGCTGTGGCAGGAGACCCCGAATATGCCAAATAATGGCGCTCCCATGCAGTCTTCTGCACGAGATGAATCAGGACTCGGTTTAGGTCTAGACGAAGAGGTCAAAGTGACCAAAAAGCGGCAACCTGTTGCAAAGCTAGATGAGAGTCGGTAGGTCGATTTATTAGGCTCAATAATGAGATAAGTGCTGAATCTATTCGGTGCAAGCCTACTGTCACAGCCTGGTATTCCAAAGTTGCGCCGCACAGCCAAAAAGAAATTGAGATTCAAAGGGAAAGGGCATGAGGTGGGCGAAGCAGAGAACGCCATTTCTGTACATGTTGCATTTCTAACTCCCATTAATATTATAGTTCTCCGACGCAGCACGCTTGTTGAACTTCTACCAATTGTGGCTTGACGACTTATTCCCCCGGGCAAAGTTCGCGGATGGTCTTGCCATAATTGAGCGACTCGGCCACTCTAAACGCTTACAAGCGATGCGAAAAGAATGGATAGACGAGGAGAAACCAAAGGTCACGCCAGAGAATCATAATGATCCCCTGCAAGCCTCCGAATCATCAGGAAGTCGGTCCGATGATCCTGTCGTAGCATTTGATGGTCTCAACATGACGGATACAAAACGATCGAGAGGGAATATTGCTGGTGACCATACGTCGGATGCAGAGGGAATGCATATTGAAGACACTTTGAATTCTTCGCGCCAACGCGAATTAGACGAGGGGCTCTTTATGACAGATGACGATGATGTCGCGCAGCAGCCCGGTAAACTGGAAGCTCCCGACGACGATGAATTGGATGCACTTCTAAAAGAACAAGAGCTACTCCTGATGAATAATGCCTCTACCTGAAGCCAATGGCCAACATGTTGTCGAAACCCCCTTTGAACAGGAAGGTTCGAAGAATTAATTGCATGACCTAGAATGATTACCGGCAAGAACTTTCCTCCAATCGTAGTATCAGGGATGAAGTTACAGAGCTGACTTATCAAAGAGTCCAATTTTCCAAGTTCCTAGTATAACTTGCATTTAACTTGATATTCCTCAATTAGCTGGCGACGAGCCATAGTTGCTCAGGGGATCTATCTAGAGCCCTTTAAATATTCCTTTTACAGAGTACTTGCACGTGCTACGAGTGTACTCCGGAACGAAAGGTCTGTGGTGATAACGTTGACAAAACAGTACCGAAATGAAATTGGTGCAGATAAAGTACAGAGCCGATCTTTGAAATAAGTTCGCATAGAGCCGATATGAGTAAAGATGGCATGGTGTATGGTGGACTAAAATCAAGGATCCATCTAGCATTGCGCCCAAACACGCCGAAGTTGAGCAGTTCCGGATGAAAACAGGAAATGGAGGAAGAAAATGCTCGATGGGTGGTAGTCTTTACACCGTTGCTGGTTCGGTAAAGACGGAGAACTGTCCACCAGCACCAGCCCAATTCAGCTTCTTACCGCGTACAGCAGTATTCTCCACGACAGTCGCAACTTCGATATCATCCTGAGTGCCCTGGCCTGTTTGGTAGGTTGCTGAAAAGCCCCACGACCAGGCGCGACCGTCGACGTCGATGGCAATTGAATGATCAGAGCCAGCCGCAACGACAGATGCTTTGATACCGGGAACAGGGGTCGGCTCAATTAAGATCCTCGGCCGTCCACGTTCGTCCTTCACGACAGCATCATCTGGAAGAGTATCGATCTTCAGGCCTGTCTGAAAGCCATCCAGGCGTCCCCATACAAGACATTGACCATCCTTGGAAACAGCAAGCGAGTGATGGGCACCACCACATAGTTGAACGATATGCTTCCCAGAAAGTGAATCCACGACAGTTGGGTGAATAATGGCAGCCTCATCGTCGCCAGCTCCCTCATGAATACCCGTTTCACCAAAGCTATTCAAGCCCCATCCATAGACCTTCCCAGTCATGTCGACGGCGAAGGAATGGAAGGCACCACAGCTGACATGGACGATATTCTTTGGTAGACCAAATTCACGCGGCTGGAGGCCGTGCAACCTGTTGCGCTCGATGATGCGGCGGCCCAATTGATTTTGTTGACCGGATCCCCAGGAGAATACCGCACCCCTCTCATCCAAAGCGAGGACGTGGTTATCACCACAGGCAAGGTGCTTAATCTTCTTGAGGGACGGAATCAGCGTGGGAGTCGGCTGAACTTTGTGTTCGGCATCAAAGCCTAGAATACCGTCGTTGCTCTGGAGAGACCCGTTAGCGCATCGTTGAGGTGACGTCCTCACAGGAGGGGGAGATAAAAGAACAGAAAAAGAAATTAGTAGGAAGAAGATGCCGCGTGTAACTTACTCGGAAAGTGCCCCAGCCATAGACCTGGCCGTCGTCAGTGAGAGCGAAGCTGGAGCTGTCACCGGCAGCGACTTCGACAAAGACGGTCTCAGGAGGGAATGCGTCGGACGATATGGCAGTGGGAGTCGCTTCATAGGGATTGAGACCGCTGTCATCATCTGAGTCCGAGTCCGAGTCCGCGTCACTTTTGTTGTCATCAATGTCCTTATAACCACCCTCCCACGTAGTGTCGCGCCCAAGAGCACCTTGATCGTTGACGCCCCAAGTAAGGATTTTGTTGTCATGCGTAAGGGCGACGCAGTGCATGCCGCCGACAGCTACCTGCACCACACCAACCCGATCTGCTGGCAAGTGGGGATTGAGGCGCGGTCTCTTTACATCGACCGCATTCTTCGCCGCGCCGAGCCCGAGTTCACCTGAGCTACCTTCACCACAAACATAGACGTTCAATCGTGCAGTGGGCGCATGGTTGATGACCACCTTCGGTTTCGGCTTCTTGACCGGAGGCTGAGTAACACGGGCTTTTTTAGTCTTGACATCGGGCTCCTTATCGACTTCTTCGGCCTTGCGCTTTTTGGTACCAGCTGCCGCACGACTAGTGGCCTTAGACTTGCGCGACTTTGCAGATGCATCAATGGCTTGAGATTGTTTCTTCGAGGTTGCTTTGATTTGAGAAGCCGCAGTAGCTTTCGCAGGCTGGCCTTTGTTTGCAGTTTTCGCAACAGTAGTCTTCTTGGTGGTGGTGGTCTTGGTTGTGGACGTGGAAGGCTTTGCGGCGGCCTTGGACGCGCTTTTTTTGGGAGGCATTTTTTTGGATTGGGAGAGTACCTTTTCAAGCGGGAAGGGGATTGGAATAGTGTACAGTTTGCAGTAGAGGTGATGACAGATTCACGAACAGAATAATTTGGGAGATGTAGGAATGGAGGAAGAGAAAGATTGGGATAGGGAGAAGAGTAGAAGAGTCGTAGAAGACTGGCGCGAGCTATCTTAGGATTCTTGACTAGTGCTTTTTTTATTGTTGTTATTGTTGATCAGACTGTCATTATTCAGGTATTTTCATTGAAACATGTGCGTACCACTCTGTGGTATTGTACTTAGCTATTGATAGGCTGTAGCATATACATTTTATCTAGGTACCTAGGTATTCAAGGGACATTCCAATTTCCAAAGATCCATCTCAAAGCAGATAACAATACTCATGAATCATGATTGAGAAACTAGAATAATAGGCACTTTTATTCACACAGTGTAAAACATAGGCAGGGCTATTCAGTGGAGCTTTCCATTTACTACCCACTATTATTAATACTTGAAGTCAACCTTAGTAGGAGATCAACTCACTTATTCATGTGCTTAATACAGAAAGATATACTGTGAAAACTAGCCCAGAAACTGTTAATACTGCCATACATTTAGAATCCTACTATTTCTCTATGTTCCTATTATTACCTAGTAGGGTTATTAATGACTATCATTACTATCATTAATGCCTGCATTATAACAGTGCTAATTAGCGTCCACCTGTGCAATGGTAAGCGCAGTAGGATACAGCCACCCAGGGATCTCATGACGCTGCTCTGAGCTAACTCTTGCCCAGCATGGCTCTGGAATCGCTAAACTGAGGCAGGCGATTGAACTCTAGCCACCAGATGGAGCAGTGCGAATTTTCCCGCACATTATGACGTTCTGGCCTAGCGGTACCCATTTTATCTCCCTTGGATTGAGGGCGGCATTCGGTTTACCTTGTTCATCTCGCTTTGAATCAGGACTCACTCCCACTCCACCACGACCCAGGTATGTTGGAGCAACGGTGACAATAATAGAGTCGATGAATTCGGTGTACTCGGGATTCAAGAGCTCGCTCAGAACAGTCCCACCGCCTTCGATCATAACACTCTTGATGCCCTCGGATGCCAATGCGCGTAGAATAGCTTCCCAGCGCAACCGCCAATTCTGGTTGTATTCGACTATACGCAGAAAGTCCCCTCCGTAGCCTTTCAACATCATCAACTGCTGCGGATGGATCTGGGCTCCAGGGGACACGATGACCCACGGAGCTTTCCCTTTGCCCTCGACTGTAGTGCGAAGCATCCTGCACTCAGGATGAACTGGCCACCGTCCTGTCGGATCGATCACCACAGGCCGCGGTTGCCACATTCTCCCAAGGCCCCCAAAACCGCCTGCACCTTCTAATCTGCAATTTAGTCCCGGGTTGTCAGCTAAAACAGTGCCCACTCCGATGAGTATCGCGTCGTGGCGTGACCTTAAATAATGCGTCATCAGCTTGGCTTCTGGTCCCGAGAGCACTGTCTGCATTCCTGGGAGAAGTGATATCTTGGAATCCATTGATGATGCATATGATAAAGTGACATGAGGCAATTCGCGCTTCTCGTCGAGTCTCGGAAGGTAAGAGTCAAGAAATTCCAACGGAAATTGAGGAAACGACAATGTATCGGGCGGTAGAGGGGACGGGCCTGTTATGTTCGGTGGCTTTCCAGCGATTTTTGGCTGATTTGTGTCGCTAGTACTCCGAGCTCTCACGATCCCGTGCCCTTTTTGATACGTGTAACCTTCGTGCGGCACAAGTTTGACTTCTGGATTTTGGATGCGCCATTTCGCTGAGACATTGCGGACATCCGTGACTGTACAAAATTTACCTCCAGCTTCAATCAACTTTTCAGGTTCCTCTTGAAATTTTGTGTAAATAGAAGAAGGCAGATAGCCCTTGACCGCCTCTTGTCGCGCAAACTCCATGAGCCCCGAGTTCCGCTTTACTTTGTCTATATAGTCAAGATCATGGGAGTGTACGTGGCTGCTACCTGGCGTCCGCGCAATAGTGACAGTGGAATAGGCGCCTTCAAACCGAACCACCTTGATTTGGAAATTGCACATGCCACCTTCTCGAACGCGTTTCTTGCGGGGACGTTTGCCCTCCGGCAATGGACGTGTCTCTGACGTGCGATGGGTTGGACGTCGTAGACGGCACATGTAATAGTCTGTGGTGCAATGTCCCTCTTTGCTAGAGTTCGACCGTTGCTTCACCCAGACGTTATCAATGAAAGGCCAATATGTCTCGAACTCCTCAAGGCTGATTTCAATAGGTTCTTTGCACTCAAACATGACTCGTCGTATCCTTGCAAGATTGGGAGGATTGTCGATAAGGCTATAGCTTGACATTGTGTCTTGGTTGGTACTGGAGGAAAGAGACACATCATTGTTATTCACTTGTTCAACGATATCACTTTGCGAAGCCACACCGGTTTCTGTACCACCAAAACCTGTTAATCCTGGAGATTTTCCTATGGAGTCCCCAGCGTGATAGTGCTGCGGTCGACTTCCGGAAACCGTGTCATGGTGTGCAGTGCTGCTGTGGCCTTCTCTCTCCACGCTTCCAATCAGTCCAGGTCCCAGTCTGGGGATTGGCCGAGCCACATTTTCATTGTTGTGTAGAATTCCTGTTTCTTGATCAGATTGTATTGGGTTCGAGCTTGAGTCAGAGGCATCGGAGTGGTCATGATCCATGTCGAGTGAGCAGTGTCGAAGCTAGGTTGCAGCTCAATGCCGTAGCGACTTACATGTACGGATGGCCCCACACCCAAAGCCGCAATCTTATCATCTCTTTATAGGTCCATTAGTGCCATCAGTACTCCGTACAGAGTATCTAGCTAATATGAAGTACAGAATACAGAATATAGAATACAGAATAGGCAATACCTAGTATTACCGGAGTGCGGATTTGCTCTTCTCTATTTTTGACGGACAATATAAATGCACCTAGGACTTCGCATGTTCTTTCTCGGGCTCAGACGCGGCAACCGTCTTCGATTACTACAGAATAGGTCTCAAGTTGCTTGGAAGAGTGATTGCCTGATTAAGTAGGTCTTCGTATCTGCACTTGCTCCCGTCAATTTAAGAGCTCGGGCTATTTCTGAATCCCCGCGAGGGAATGAGATAGAAAGCTGAGGCGGGCTAGAGTGAGAGTAGAGAACGCGGAAAAAAGAGGAAGTATGGACTGAGATACCTTATCTGATCTTTGACTCTTCGCCAAGCTGAGCACGATGCTGCTACGCAGTAGCAACTAATGGAATTTAAGGTAATTGGTTCTTCACAAGCAGCGTTGTTTGATTTTGAATTCCTGAATTCTAAGGCCTGAGACGCGGACTACCTAGCCAGAGACTCCAGATGATAACCCCTAGTAAGCCCCGATATCCGCTCCGGCGCGAGCAAGAGTTTCATAAACTCTCGGCGGTAATTTGTACTTAACCATACCGGAGAAGACCATCAGATCCTTGGCCATGACGAGTAATTCATCAGCTAGGCCTTGCCTGGTCTCGTTCTCATACACTCCAGAACTCAACCTTGCCCTCTCATGGCCAATGCAAGTAATACTCCACATTATCACGTGCCCGACGTTACGTGCAATGATTGGAGGGAAAGACGAGAAAGCTTGAGCAGCACTTCGAATGAAGGAAACCGAGCCTCTTGCACGCAAGGGTAAGATGCTCAGGTCATTGATAGCCTGAGGGAAAGTTAATCAGTGGGAGAGAACGAGGACGAGGTGTGGAACTGAAAAGGGAAGAGACTTACATCCAGAGCCGGCGTCCATTGGCCTGCTTCAACTTCTCCCCTCGCCTCCATCATTCGAAGCAATAAACCGCAAGCATCACGATTGATCTGACGGATTCGCTGATAATAAAGAGCGTTTGTATTGTAGAGGCCAATCATATTCTTCGCCAGAACCACCGGATCATCCACTGCTGTAAGACTTAGGCTACTTCCAGGTTCAGCGGCCTCTCCATGTTCATCACTGGCATGCTGTTGTAGATCAGTTCGTGGCCGCAACGGCTGCAGCTTCAAACCAGGCCCGCCTAACTCCATTGCTACAGCATCCGACAGTGCTCGGTTGATGATGTCGATCACGCGGTCGTAATCCTCAGCAAGGTGATACAAGAGGACTGCATCCGTTACCAGCCCCTTGTCATCGGCGATCGCAGCAGCTTGAATTGTTATTGTTTTCAAAAATTCTTCTTGATCGACCAATTTGATCAAGCTCATGCGTTGCTCAATCAAGCCCTTAATTCGAGTCCCATCCGAGCGGATATCACCAAGTAATTTGGCAAAATCCCTCGTCTCTAGAACAAATTCCCGCAATGCTTCGTGACACACGGATGCTTGAGATTTGCCCAGAGAACCAGGGAGGTCGGCGTTAAGACAGAGCAAGCAAAAGTAATCGATCGCTGCCTCAACATATCCTGTACGAAACTCCCTTGTGTACTGGGTGATGAGATGTCCGAAATTGATCTGGGGATATTGTTTCACAGTAAATGATACTAATTCTGTTAGTAGACGTCATAGGGAAGTATGAAGCTTGGGAAGAAATGCTTACAGATTTCTTCCGCAGATGTGTAGAAGTCTGACACGCGTAGCAGACCATAGTACGCCAAGGCGATTGCGAAATGCACCGCACTGACTGGCGCATAAGAGCCGAGGTATGAAACGGCCTGTTCGAACATCCCTCCTAAGATCTGCAATAGAAAGAAAATGCCGTAACCACCGGATGCCTCCTGGCCCTTGCCAAAAACGCGCTGACCGATCTCTGTGATATCCGTCTGGATATCCTCGAGGCCAAAAACATCCCCAGCGATTTCTTCAGCACGGTCGTCTTCTCTCGCCAGACTGAATTGAAGCCACATCCAATCTTCGACACTCTGATTTATGCCCTCCAAGCGCCTACGGGCTAGGTCGCACCGGCCAATGATCTTGTAGCAAGCCATGCGATACGGATCAACCGTGTTATCAGGGGCATT